GGGTCGGCGGCCGGGCCGAGGCTGGGGGGGCTGCGTTTAATCACAGAGCGATGGAATCGTTTAGGTTGGAAAAGACCTTTGAGATCATCAGGTCCAACCGTTAACCCACCACTGCCAAGCCCACCACTAAACCATGGCCCTAAGCACCACATCTACACGGCTTTTAAATACCTCCAGGGGCGGGGACTCCACCTCTTCCCTGGGCAGCCTGTGCCAGGGCCTGACAGCCCTTTCGGTGAAGAAACTTTTCCTAATATCCAACCTAAACCTGCCCTGGCGCAGCTTGAGGCTGTCTCCTCTCGTCCTATCTCTTGTTACTTTGGAGAAGAGACCGACCCCCACCTGGCTCCAGTCTCCTCTCAGGCAGCTGTAGAGAGCGATGAGGGCTCCCCTCAGCCTCCTCTTCTCCAGGCTGCGCACCCCCAGCTCCCTCAGCCCCTCCTCACCAGCCTTGTGCTCCAGACCCTTCACCAGCTCCGTTGCCCTCCTCTGGCCACGCTCCAGCACCTCAATGTTGTTTGCTGTGGGCTTCCCGCTGGCAGGGCTGCCTGTGGGACCTAGCTTTGGCATATGCTGATACAGACTGAAACAGAGCAAACAGCATGGCTTGTGCTCAGAAACCTTCCAGATACAAACTTTTCCAATGCAATTGGCTTGGCCTTTATTGAACTCGCTCAGGTTATAGTTGTTTAATCGTAATTAAACAATTACGGCACGATAGACGCATGCCTGCTTAGCTCCTCTTGGCTGTGAGCTGATGCAAACCAAAGCCATTGCCTGATTTCCCGCACAGGCACTTACTGCGGCGCTGCGTTAAGCTGAATGTGTGTCTGTGGCCTCTGTCTGCCCTGGAGGTTTGTCCCAGTTCTGTTCGCTGCACTGGGGAACCACACCGGTCCGGCCTGAGCAGGAGCGGTTGGGGTGCACGTTAGCTCTGGGGGAGGTAGGAGAGTCGTAAAACCCCACCACAGGCCCCCTGTCTCCTGCCAGATGGAAGCAGCGCGGGAAGGGTGTACAGCTTGTGGAAGGGACCACACCTGATAGACACAAACCTGTTTGCCTGAAGCTGAGGGCTTCAGAGAGTCTGCTGTTGAAGCCCAAACTCTCACAGCTCAAGCTAAAGGAGCTACTTTAACAGAGTCATTCGAGGAGTACAAGGTTTTCTCAGGCTATGTTTGTCAAATAACTGATGGTGGCAGCAAACAGAGATCACCTTCACCAAGAAGCCGCCAGCTGCCCACCCTGTTTTAGGCCACATGTGTTGGAGCAGCACAAGCAGCGTACACAACCCAAAGTACTGCAAATCAAACACTTTCTAAAAGTCCATCTTTTCTTGGCTTCTTTTTGTGTGTTTCTTCACCTAAGTAGTCCAATGGAGTTGAACACAGTTTCACTTCTGGGGTTTGGTAATTTCTCATTTAATACTCATATTTGTAAATATCTACAGCCTTTTACAAAGGGGAGATCCCACCTTGTGAACTAGAGAGAAGTCTGGCTGCGCCAGCAGGATGAGCTCAGCCACCAGCGGCTGGGGCCAAGGCCAAAGGCAGCCGGAGCAATGTCAGCGCCATCCCAGGCCCCTGGGATGAGCTCAGTGGATACTGCATCTGTACTTCTGAACAAATTAGCAGACTTATTCCTGGTATTGATCTGTCTGGCATGGTCCGGTCACCTCGGTAATAGTAAACTCTCTGAGCCTTCAAAGGAGGGAGGCTGTGTGCAGCCTGCCTGTTAGGGTTGGTCTCTAGCTGGTATTAACTCTCTACTATGCCCAGGAACTGTTTGGGGCCGTGTTGGTTGGTGGTGTCCAAAAGCATGCCGAGAGCTTTCTGAGCCTTTAACATTATCACTAGTTTCAGTTGCTAGTGCCTTTCTCTGGCACTCCTAAATTTATTAATCCAGATGTAGCCAATGACAGCTGGAAATGTGGCTCTGATAATTGTCTCAGTGCCCAGCAGAGCAGCCAGAATAACGTTATCTACTCGTAGATGCTCAGAGGTACTGGGTGGCTGGCTGGGCTTGTGATGAGGATGGAGGTACCCAAAAGGAGATGATAAAGACGGAGGTGTTCTGCACGAGGGTGCAGGAGACGAACGGTTGCTCTAGCCATGGTGAGGTGACGGGGAAGAAAATGTGGATGCTAAAGGATACAGATACCCCAGTATGGGGTCCACCTGCGTAGCAGTCTAACTGCTTCCTACATCTAGCGGTTTCCTTGAACTCAAATAGACATCGCTATTGCTTTTGATTTTGAAGCTGTTCTCTTCAGGCTCCGCACCCTCTAACAAGCTCTGCATGTGCATTTGAGCACGTGTGCATAGGTGTGTGCAAGCGCAGTGCTGGGTCAGTGATCTAGCAGGTTCTGAGTCAAGGAGCCTTACGTACCCCTCGCTTCTTATTAGCGCTTTGCTAGGGGAAACCTGAAGGTGTGTGAGAGAGAGAAGTTCAGTTTTGACTCTTGCCGATGAACCAGGGCTGCTTGAAAGTGCCAGCTGGACAGGGACTCTGCTGGGAAGGTCACTGGCTGAGCGAGGGGGGCCAGCTAGCTGAGCTACTCGGCTTATTTGCATGTCTGTTGCCTAAAAGTTAGGGGCATTCTTGCTTAAAAACCCCTCAAAGCCAAAAAGTGGAAGTGAGTAAACTATTTGTGTGTTAGAAAGTATGTCAGATACGGTGTGGGTGAGCCGTGCTGTAGCCTGCAGCCCTGGGAGATGGAGAGGGAAGGAGCGGTTGTCGAGAGACATGTCCGCAGCAGAGGTTAGGGATGTCTTGGTGCCACTGCTGAGGGCTGCCAGGGGAGCAGTGAGGAGCAGAGCTGAGCCCGGGACACCTGCAGAACAGGGGCTGTCGGTGAAGAGTAGCAAAGAAATATCAGCCATGGCCTGGGCCGATTCCCTCAATATCCGTGCAGAATGGCACGTCTGCGCTCACGTCTGCTGGACTGGCACATCCCCTCGAACAGAGAGGCGTGCTCGCCCAGCCGAGTCCCCCGCGGCTGGGCAGCAAACTGTGCACCGGGTGGCAGCTGGGCCGCAGCGGTTCCTTTCCCTCAGCTGCGGGAGCTGTATTGTGGCAGCAAGAAAAGGGCTATTGCTAGGATTTCCTGAGGATGGTTGTCTCACCCGCAGATGATTATTCACAACTTCTAAGTTGATGTATTCTAAAATGATGTCCTTCCCCCCTCCCCGGAAAGTTGTATTTGTTTAAAACTCTTTGTTTAAATGCTTGGCTTGTAGGTGGGGAAATATTGCTCATGCTTTGTTGTGAAGGCAGCATAATTCAGCTTGTCAGACTCCTGGGCAAGAGCTTGAACTACCGCCATTTAACAGGGGCTTTATTTTCCATTTTCCTGTTTACTGGGCATCCCTACAATTTGAAGACGGACCTTGCCATTGCCAAAGCACACCTGGCAAAAGAGTTGTTCCTTTTTCCTCAGCTCTGGCTCTCACACAGGCTAGACCAGGGGCTAAACCTGGTTCTTCTTGCCATCCAAAGTTCAAAATAAATCTACTGAGTGGTAGCATCTGCGCATCTTTCTCCGAATCTTGTTGGTTGTCTGCTTTGCTGTCTCCCACAGCCTGGCGGGCCAGGCCCCAGTCTCATATCTCATCCTGCACCGAGGGAGCACTGGTTCATACTGGTACAGCGTGAACTCAGCAGTGCATGGACACGTTCACCTGTGAAAGGTTAGAGTCTTTAAGCCTGGTTCCAACTGAGACGTCTGAAGTTGGTGAAAGACTCTCCAGGGATTTCAGCAGGCTTTCGGGAGAAGTTTGTGTTGTTACAAGGTGCAGAGCAGTGGATAAGGCACTTGAATGGATAACGGGAGATGTACATTTTATTTTTGGTTAGGATACTTATCTGCCTGCTCTCACTTTGTGCCTCTATTTCCCTATCTGGGAATAATTAAATATGCCTTTCTGGTGAAAAACTTTGAGTTATGTTGATAAGAAGTGGTAGATAATGCTTG